GGGGGGGGGGAAATACCGTTCAAGTAGAACATAGACTCCTTTGCCACTTATTATATAACCCAACCTTTTCTGCCAGGGTTTTTCTAGTCATTTTATAGTCTTCACTACAGTAGGCCCACTGGGATTTGCCACAGAAAAATGCCTTAAATATTTTAAAAGCACGTGTTGTATCGTGTTACCATTGCCAAGATGAAGGGAGTAGCTGGGCCAAGTTCCCATTTCAATATTTCTCCGACCACAACACCAGTGAGGTGGATACAACCAAGTCCTATTCATGCCCTGCCTCAGGAGGCTGAGGACTAGTAGACTCAGAGGGAACTGGGCCGTCTGGGCTGGGGTGGGTTTCTAGAGGTACTGTAGGTAAGGAAGGTTCTCCAGAAGCACCACTGTCTCCTTGATCCAGAGGGCTGCTTGGTGCAGAGCCGTGGCTATTGTTGGCTTCCTAGGAAAGACAAAGGGGGGGGGAGGAAGGAAGTCATGTTAAAATGTGCTTGTGAATTTCCTGCCCAGGAAACATATGTATTCTGCCATTCCAGGTAAGCCACACAGCTTCTTCATAATAACAGAAAAAGAAAGGAAGGAAGGAAGGAAGGAAGGAAGGAAGGAAGGAAAAAGAAAAAATACACAGCACAGCACACAAGCATCAAAGCAACAAGGAAAGCTGTCATATCCAGACAATATTAGACAGCAAAATGACAGAAGAACTTACCTCCCTTGTCTTTTCCTAACTGCTCTTCCCCAAGAAGCATGTAGGGAAAAAGCTTATTGTATTTTAAGATTTTTTAAAGTTTAAAAAAAAATTCAAGAAAAATAGTTGCACGACTTGTTAAAATGGAACTTTTCATGGAACCGCACTTACTTTTCATTGACATATTTTTTCATATAGTACTTTGCATGAGAAACCAGGGAACATCAGCACTCTTCTATTTTGGGAGAAGAATTATGAATATTTCAGCAGCCTGACTAAGCAGTAGGCCTTTCTTAATAACCATCACACAGGGAGTGGGGGTGGCTAGACACTTTTAGAAACGCCAAAAGAATGTGTGTGTGTTTTAAAGCTATTCTACAGGATATGGAAATATACATTTAAAGATCAAGGTTATTTTTTATTACTCCAAAGCCAAACACTATAACATACTCCACAGATCATGATGAATTCAGCTTCATTTAAAGATAAACCAGGGACAAGGCAATCTGCACAAGGATGCAGGGTTACATATGCAGATTTTATTAGATCTAGTCTCATGACTGTAAGGTGACCAGGTTCCTGTTTTGCTTTAAGAGCAGATCCCTGTTGAAGCAGGGGATGAGATTTAGATTAAGAGTAGATCAATTAAAGTGTGCAACAATATTAAAGGACTGTAATTACTGTCAGCTCCTGACGAGGCATCTCTTTTCTCAAGCAGCCCAGCGGCAGGGCCTCTAGGAGGCGCTGGTTTCTTCCTATGGGCCATTACAAGGAAAGGAGCAGTATTAGCAGTCCAAAAAAAATTAAAACAATGGGGAATTAGGAGTAACTGGTTTGTCTGGTTAGGAAACTGCTGCTTTAATAACATTTGAAACAATCATATTTATAAAAGATTAGACTATGTTTCCGGAGGAATGCCAACCATGTTTTTGAAAACTGATCACACCATCTTTGTTCCCATCGCTCCAATGCCACCTACGAATCAGGTAAGAGTCAGGCTATGTATCATCTGCCCAAAGTAGGGCAAGAACCCAGTTGATATTCTAGTTGCATGAACCGACAGAAAAGATGCTTTTTTTTTTTTGGACTTATATACCGCCCCATAGCACTACAAGCACTCTCCGGGCGGTTTTTACAATTTAATTATACAGGCTACACATTGTCCCCCCAGCAAGCTGGGTACTCATTTTACCGACCTCGGAAGGATAGAAGGCTGAGTCAACCTTGAGCCGGCTACCTGGGATTTGAACCCCAGGTCGTGAGCACAGTTTTAGCTGCAGTACAGCGTTTTAACCACTGTGCCACGAGGTTCCTTTTTGATCAAACCATTTTTTAAAATCAAAAACCTCAACACAAGCACACAGAAGGCTGCAAGTAGTAAGTGCTGTCTCAGACGGCGGGGCAATGTCTCTTTTAAATTCGCAATGGCTGCGATGTGTGGTGCATCCTTGGAAATATTTTCGAAAGGATGGCATTCCCTTCAGAGCTACTGTTTTTAAAGATATGCATATTTATGCAGTTTAGCCATCAGGCAATTAGGCCTTGTATGATTTATCCACCAGGATACCACAAGGCTGTTTCTGTTGTTACAACAGCCTTCAACTTACGGCAACCCTATGAATGAGTGACCTCCAAAATATCTTCTCCTCAACAGCCCTGCTCAGCTCTTGTAAATTCAAGGCTGTCGCTTCCTTTATGGAGTCAATCCATATCGTATTTGGCCTTCCTCCTTTTCCTGCTCTGTCTTTAGCTTTCCCCAACATTACTGCCTTTTCCTGTGAATCTTGTCTTCTTCTAAGGTGCCCAAAATATGGCAGCCTCAGATTCATCACAAGGCTGGTGACAGCCTTAGTCTAGAGAAAACCCTTAATTTTCAAGGACAGATTTCCTCACCAAAAAGCAGGCACTTCCAGTATATTGACTATGGGACTACGATTTCCATCAGGCTTCACAGCCGGGAGTTTGAGAAACTACCAGGAGATCAAATGTCTTAAGGAGCCAGCTGAATAGCCTTCCACACAAGTATTAGGATCGCCCTTGAGTACATGTGGTAGGCACGCAAAGACAATCCTAGGTAGATGCTCACACAGAATTTTTCTTTTTCTAAATGTCATTTTGTACTCTTCCATGAAGAACTGAAAATGTAATTTGGAGCAGACTTGAGTATACTAGGACTTCAAAGGGAGAGAGGGAATAGTCCTTTCCCCATTTCATAGATAGGGTGCTAATTAATTGGATATTGTGTTAAACTACATAATGGTTTAATGTTAATCCTCTTATCCCTCTCAAAGCAGATGCACATTCACTGCATCAGATGGATGACACAAGTAAGAAGCAGGAATGAACATAGTTACTGGTTTATACTCATCAGTCTGCAAGCAGCTAGCAGCAAAAAAGTATGTGCTGTGTTACCAGGAGGTGCGGAGGTGCTTACCAAGAAGACTTCTTTAGAAAAAAAAAAGTGTCACATCAGAAAGGTAAGGAAATGGCTATGCTAAATCAAACCAAGGGTCCATCTAGTTTAGCAGCATTTTATCTCCAACACTGGCTAACCACACACTCTTCAGATGCCCCAAAACACAGTGGAAAAGTCCCTTCCTGTTCCTTGGCACTGACGTATAGCAACTGGAGAAACACCGCCTCTGAATACAGAGGGTGCTCCTGCTAAAAGATCCTTAAACCTGCATGAATCTGTCTTCCTCTTAAAAGAAGAAGAAGAACTGCAGCAACCTCTCTGGATTTTTTAAAGATTAAATATATGTATACACAAAGCAGAGCTCTTTTTTTCTTGAACTAAACTGTCAATAAATACATTTCACTGAGAGGCTGCATGAAAAATAAACCCCACCCTTGTATATTGCAAACATACTGTAGGGCGTTTCTGTACTCCAACGAGGACATGATCTTCTGCAGCTTGTAAAGTTTGCCCTCAAAAGATGAGCGCTGTATGCACACCCTACTTCCCTGCAGCTTATAATCAAAACTGGAGAAAAACTCCAATCTACCGCCCTTCCTGCTCACTCCTAATTTCTTCCCCCCACATGGCAGATTTGTGGGGTCATACTTAGCATACAGGATTTCCTTTGGAACCTGAATTTGTCATTTGATAGCCCAGGATTTGGGAGGCCTGCAAGCCAATCCTGTCTAATTGAGACGAGCATGTGTCAGACTTGGAGGACTGGCCTAGTTCTCTCTCTCTCTCTCTCTTCCCCTGCCCTCTCTTGAGAAGCAGCTTGGCTCAGCTCTAAGCCAACCCAACACAAGCCACGGCTGATTTGTGCCTATGCACAAAAATAAAAGTAAAACCTAACCCCGCCCCCAAATGCTGCTTCTGCTGTTGGTTTAACAGCATTAATACTTAACGCTCTGGGGCAGGGAAGGAATGCCTGATTCTAATTTTTTAATGGCACTGAAATGTATGTTTTAGTATCCCAAAGCTAGAAATATCTGTTACGCACCAAAGGCTGGGTTACCTGCAAAGGCTGGTTCTCCAGGGCTTGGTTGCTTTTGGAAAGTCGAACCATTTCCTTGATCTGACAGAGCGCATAGGCTAGAGTCACCCAGGGAGAAGAGCTGACCCCCCAGGCGGGTTTGTTCACGTCTTCCTGCTCTTCTTGGTGCTTGGTCTTCTTGGGAGGAAACCTGGGCTCAGGCCGTGGCATGATGTCTTCGGTCTGTTGCTGGACAAGGTCGATCGTAGCTATGGGCACAGGACTGGAAGGCACGGGGATCCTTTCTGCCAGCATCGTCTTTTCTGAAGTCAAAGGACAGCAAACGTCAGTGTCCTTTCCAACAGCCCTGACTTGCTCGCAAGGGAGCGGCAGACCACCGGATACTATGCTTCTTTTTAAAGGATGCCAGACTAGAACCACAATGAAATTCATGGAGTGATCATGGATGACTCATTCTCTCATAGCCCTCATCTACCTCACTGGGTTGTTGGAGGGTAAAGTAGGGAGGAAAAAAAAAGCAACATAGATGGACCTGGCCTGGTTGGAGGAAAGCAGGGATATAAATGAAGATGAACATGACTAGTATCGGTAAGGCTGAGCTGCAGTTATATCTTATTTCATTGATTTATTTATAAAGCTTACAGACTACTCTACTTAGGGAAATAACTACTTGGGGTGGTTTACAAAATGTAAATATCCCATTCAATCAAACAAAAAGAAGGAAAAAACCCAGTTCCCAATCAGACAGTCAAATAAATGAACTGAAAGGTGACCATCAGCTGATACTAGCAACAAATAGCAAACAAATCAGAATAGCTCAAAAACAGACAAACATAATACAGGTCACAGAATTAATATCAGATGTTACCAAAGGCCTCAATAGCAAACAAATCAGAATAGCTCAAAAATAGACAAACATAATAACAGGTCACAGAATTAATATCAGATGTTGCCAAAGGCCTTCCGGAACAGTCTGGTCTTCAATAGTATTCTAAAGGACTGTAGGGAGGGGGCCTGCCTGATCTCTCATCAAAGTTTCTTCCATAAAGAAGGTGCCACAGCTGAGAATGAGCCATTTCTAGTAATGGTCTTCTTTAATTTCCTTGGGGAGCCACCTTCCATAGGGAGACCTGAGAGGATCAGATTAGGCAGGTAGATATTCTTGAGGAGAGGCGCTCTGGCAGGTAGAGAGATACCAAACCATTCAAGGCTTTGTACGTTATAACGAAAACTTTAAAACTGACACAGAAGCTAATAGGAACCCCAATGCAGCTGAGCCAGGGTGGAGGTTAACCTGACTGAATCGCCTAGCCCCAGAGATTAGCCTAGCTAGCTGCTGCATTCTGGACCTGCTGAAGCTTCTATACTGTCTTCAAGGTATGGCATCCCAGCTTTCCTCCAATGAATATGCCAGGAGGAAGGACTATTAAACACACACACACACACACGGTTCCAGGGACCTAAGTAACACCCCCCATGTTCTGTTGTAGCAGTGCTGTCACAGTGAGGGGAGGGGGAGGCATGGCTGGGGAATCTTTGGCCCTCCAGATGTGTTCATCCTACACTGCCCAGAAGACACAACAAGCACAGTCAATGGTAATGGATTATGGGAGTTGTAGTCCAAAACATCTAGCAAGCCCACGTTTTCCTGTCCCTGCCATTTGGGGCTGGAGAAACACGAGTAGTGCCTTGTATTGCATCTAAAGGATAACAGGCAGATCCATCTCTGAGGTTTTAGCAGGCAGTTATAGCAAGGAATGGTTTTAGTGGCCGCAAGGTGTGGGGAGAGGAAGGGAGGTACTTCTCGATGTTTTATGTATGCATCCCAATGCTGTTATCCCATTTTTCTTCCCAAAAGGAAGTGTTTAACAACAAGCATAACTAATAGTATCAAAACGACGTCCAGTCCCATTGACCAAAGGAAAGCAATCCCCTCCAAACTAAAAAAAACACTCAGAACACAATGCATGATGGAAGATCACATAACCAACCAATGGTTCACCATTTCCAACTGCTAAGATGAATTCATTAAACACGGGGCAGAAACAGACGTTAGTCTGCGATTATAACTGAAAGCACGTCAGGATTTGGGGAGACATGATTCAAGCAAAATTTTATGATTGAAAAATCATAGTTCACACACACACACAGAGCCCATTAAAAGTTTCCTCTTCTGCCAACAAGTTAAATATTATAATCAGTATTTCTGCCCAGAGACAGAAAAAAAATCTGCATATCTTTATGTCTGGAATCTATTTGTGTTTTAAAATACCCTTGAATTATACATAAGACAGATTTGTTTACAGGCAAACACTTATTTTTAGCAACATATTTGATTCCTTGACATCAAAGGATGCTGCAGATCCAAGCGGCTAACCTTCTTCCCTTGTCCTTGCCTTGGTTTTATCTCAAAAGCAGAGGGTGAATTGTCTTTGCCACTATAAGGTGGTTTTATGCTGACAATATTAAAGAAATCCACGTGTGCCAGGTGTTCGATGTTTTCCCTTAAACAAAACAATACACCAGAGTTGTCCCAGGCCAAGTCCTGTCCTAAAATGTTTGAGTTATCATTCCGGCCGAATGAGCAACTAAGCCAGCAGAACACCAAGGGGCAAAAGACAATGAGAAGGATTTCAAGACTGGGTAAAAACACAAGGCAAAGATTATTCTAAGGAAATAATCTTTCACTCACAAAGGTCTCTGCTAAGACTCTTTGGTATTTAGAACTAGCATGGACAATAGAGGATGGCCACGAGAGTGCTGGCACCAGAATGGACTGCCTGAAAAACACAGATCATAAACAGATGGAAGTAAATGATAAATGGTTGCTGTTTAGTTTCAAGGATTTAGCTATGAGATCTCCTTGCTCTGAATAACTGCAGCTATCGTCAACGGGCAGTTAACAGGGTTGAGCAACCACTCCAGCTGCGGTTGTCAGCCAGGACATAGATGTAGACTAGTGGGACATGGATGTTTCCTAACTACTACTGTACTAAGAATTCACTCCTTGTCAGTCCCTCATGCCCTCCAAAGAAGGGTGCACAATGTGTGGTCTTCCAGATGTTGAGGGACTGCCATCTCTACCAGCCCTTGAAGTACAGCCAATTATGAAAGATATTAGCAGTGGCAGTCCAATAGCCTCTGGACGGCCCCAGTCGTATGAGTACACCATGCTGCCTCCTCCCAACCTTCACTGACGTGAATTACCCATTTGCAACTGGAGCATGCCAATAGTAACTTTAGACAAAAGTGAGTAACTTTTCTCATCATGGTCGCTCTCTGATTTTTTTGACAGAGCAACTGGAAGCATGCAACGTAAGCTGAGAACCACTGTACGATAACAAGCAGGGACTGTGTACAAGCCACTGCCAATGCGTCTGAATATATCTTTGGTTCATAAGCTCCATGTACGATGCCTGGTGACGGCAAAGAATTAAGATGATGATTTACCTTCCTTCTCATCAGGAACTGCTAACCACTGGATCAAAGCAAAAAGCAAGAGGATCACCAGACAGGCCATTCCAATCCCTCTGAAAGTTGAAGCAGCTCCTGTAAAAAAGAAGTGGAACGAGCGAGACTGAATTCAATTGTGCTCAAGAGCAACTTCCAATGGAATTCCATACAGATCTATCCAGAAGAAAGCCTAGCTGATTTCGGCAGAACTGACCGCTAGAGCAAGGGTGTACAAATCTTAGACTACAACTCCCATAAGGCTGCTGGCCACGCTGGCTGGGGATGCTAGGGCCTCACAGAACTACACTTACAAGCTGTGAACTAGCTTTAGTGGCTTGCACGGGACATAACTTTCTAGAAGCACTTCTGTCTGGTGGGGCATTAACAAGAAATCGTTCCTCATATACTTCTGCTGATTGTCACCCAATGAGAGGAGCCATGACTGCATCTTCCGGGCTGGCTGACAAAGGGGGTTCTTTGTGAAGGAGAGAATAAGGCCATTATTTAAACAAAGGTGGTTTCCTTTTTATAAGAAGAACTCAATTAGAATTATAAGGTATCTATGCCCTTATTAATTATCATCTCAACTGTTATGTACATTGTACATGAATTCTACTGTAGAACGCTGGCTTTTTAACAGTTACTTCTGTGGCCTTCAGGGCAGTAGTAATGGGATCTGCACACTGTGTCTGTTGTTGTTGCAATGGGGATTATTATAACGAAAAGTCTAAGAAGGATAAACCCTGCCAATAGAACACCATATGCACAAATCACTGGCTATTCAACACTTCTTTATTATTATGCCTAGGAAAGATTTGCTTTTCTTTCTTGCAAACCCACATACTGACTGAAATGCTGTTGCTTACTTATGCAATGCAAGTTTGATAACATCAGCCACTAACACTCTGCAGCTGTTGGAGGGAATTAAAAGCTTCCTATTTCCCTTCAGGTTTGGGGGGGGGGATTCCTAGAGATCCCCTTTGTTCTGGAGAAGCCTTTGACAGCCATGGAATGGGGGTAGGGAATGATTTCAAGCTGGAAGGTCATAGCTATCTGTCCCCGAATTTTAAGTCATTCCATCCCCATCCCCTATTCCGCAGCTCCTGAATGGCTTCCTCAAATCTTGTGGAAGGAGAATAGGAAGCTTGCAATTCTCCCAAAAGAAGTCATGGGGTGGCATGGCTGCAGCTGATGACATCATCAAAGTGTCATGGCACAACTCTGCCAACAGGATTCCAGGCACTATCTTGTGTAGGTTAAAAAAGAACAAGTACTTTAACTTAATTGTATGATCTCTGAACAGGCAAACAATCTATGATATCCCCAAGTAAATGCAGACAATAATCTAGAGATGGGCAGAAGTTCAACTGGTAAACTGATGACTGATTTGCAGAAAATCATCAAGGATATCTGACTCCCGATTGCTTAACAAAACAAGAACAACATTACCCTCGATCCTACTTTAAAATATAGTGATTCAATGCACTAAACTCTGGTGCTGAAAACAAATTCCTGGCATCAAATTATTTAATTTTACACAAATAGTTTATGCAACTGGTTCTGGTTAAAACCTGAAAGTATCTGTCAACATGACCGAAGCCTGTCTTGGTGCTGGAATGCCCACTCCTGATCTACATCAAACTCTCCAATGGATGAGAGAAGACTAAATAGCTAAATTTCTCTTACCAAAAAAATTGACCAGCACTCCGCCAATCATTGCTCCGCATCCTCTCCCCAGGCCAAGATGGAGACCCTGAAGGATGCCCTGGGCTGATGTTCTTAATTCCGGAGGCACAGCAGCACTCAGGTAGGAAATGCAAGCGGCCCAGATTGCTGCATGTGTCACACCTACAAGGAAGGAACATGTTACAAGATGCAATGTCTGAGAGATTATGCTTCTTCGTGTATATTGTTGCAGCTGGCAAAATAATCATTTCTAGGGCAGTGATGTGGTGGTAGATTTTGAAGTGCAAGTGCTCAGCATGGTAGAGAGCCTAACCATACCTCCAGCAACATCACAAAATGCAGGCAACTATCTTTATCTGTATCAACAAACCAACTGTAGCAATGTTCATGCCTACCAGGGACCAGTCTTTTATAAAGCTAATAGATGTTAAGACCAAGCAGCCACAATATATTTTGCACAACAAGAGGAATATAACTCTCAGCAATACATTGTGGCTGGAAGAATCCATTTCCCATGACACCTCCTTAAATTCCAGATCTGCTCCCTGGTCCAAAAAGGATGGAGACCCTTCCTTGATGGCAGAAAATGCTCCCTTGCACCCTCTAGTGGCAAATTTTATTTTATCTTTTAAAATAAAACTTAGGGACATGGCAGCTGAGGCTCCTCAAACAATGGTAAAATTGTTCCTATTCCCTCTAGAAGGCACAAGAGGACTTTCCCTCTGTTAAAACACACACAAACACAATGTAAAACAAGGGATATGTGGGCTTGCTGGGGAGTTCCAGTGTTGCAGGGCTTCATATTGGCCATTTCTTTTTACAACCAGCAAATATTACTCATTATACCATAGAACAGACAATGTTACAGGTAATACTATATGTAACACCTTCCTTTCAGACTCTGGATAAGTTTAGCCGTGGGGCAGAGACAAACATACCACACCAGTAATGAACAGATTTGTATGCTGTCATTGTGCTCATTCCCAGCTGGAAAATGACGCAGCTAGACATACTCTTGCTGACCCAGAAGCGAAATTCAAAGATTTCAAACGGAAGGGCCCCCAAAGTGAGAGAGACTGGACCTGGGACTTCCTGCATGCCACAGAGTGTGCTCTGTCGTTCAGCTATAGCCAGCATTCAGCAAGGACCCAAGCAAAAGGATCCAAACTGTTCTGGATTTTGTGTGTATTGGCGCTGTGGGCTAATCCGCAGAAGCCTGTGCTGCAGGGTCAGAAGACCAAGCAGTCGTAAGATCGAATCCACGCGACAGAGTGAGCTCCCGTTGCTTTGTCCCAGCTCCCGCCAACCTAGTGGTTCGAAAGCATGCAAATGCGAGTAGATAAATAGGGTCCACCTTGGTGGGAAGGTAACAGCGTTCCGTGTCTAAGTCGCATGTGACCACGGAAGATTGTCTTCGGACAAACACTAGCTCTATGGCTTGGAAACCGGGATGAGCACCACCCCCTAGAGTCGAACACGAGTGGACAAAAATTGTCAAGGGGAACCTTTACCTTTACCTTTATCCAACCATTTCTGATTGAACAGAACGTATCTAGAAATAAAGGAAGGAAGAGCTGAAAGGAAATGTCTGGCTCTTGGACAACTGACCTCATTCGCAGGGACATGGGCACAGAAAATTGCCACCGATGGAGCTGTAGCACATGGGGCTTTGACAACGTCTCCTTTGAAAATATGTCATAGAATCATAGAATCACAGAGTTGGAAGAGACCACAGGGGCCATTTAGTCCAAACCCCGTGCCATGGAGGAACTCCATCAAAGCACTCCCAACAGATGGCCATCCAGCCTCTGCTTTAAAAACTCCAAAGAAGGAGACTCCACCACCCTTCGAGGCAGCCTATTCCACTGCCGACCAGCTCTGACTTGTCAGGAAGTTCTTCCTGAGATTCAGGTGGAATCTTTTTTCCTGTAGTTTGAAACCATTGCTCCTTGTCCTGGTGTCTGGTGCCGTGGAAAACAAACCTGTCCCTTCCTCGACATGACATCCCTTCAACTATTTAAACATGGCTATCCTGTCCCCTCTCAACCTTCTTTTTGTAAGGCTAAACATTCCCAGCTCCCTAAGCCACTCCTCGTAGGACACTGCTTCCAGACCTTTAACTACTTTCGTCGACCTCCTCTGGGACACATTCCAGGTTGTCAACATCCTTCTTGAATTGAGGTGCCCAGAACTGGACACAATACTCCAGATGAGTTCTGGCCAAAGCAGAATAGAGTGGTACTCTATATGTCCCAGACAGAGAAATTTGTAGAATTTATAACACACACAGGAGATAATTATCGCCATGATGGATAAATATCCCTAATTGAACGGTTGCTGCCTTAAGCACTGGATGGACACAGGACTGAAAATCAGCCTCTACCACAGAGAAATTGGGGGCGGGGGATGGTTCATGGCACTGAGCATAAGGGCTGCTATGGGAAAAGATCCATTTGCAACATCTACTACAGCCCTATCTGGACAAAATTACACTACGTTTAGCCACATCTGCACATTACTGGATATTAGGACAGAAATATAGAACATATTGCAATCAGAACACAGGTAGGTTACCCCCAATATTACTAATCAATACAGAGGTGTTATTTTTCAGTAACAGACATGTTAATACATTTTTCTACTGTTATAACAGAAGACAGTATCTCCTATTACTGTTACTCAAGGAGGACCGTGAAGGATCTGCCACCATTATGAAGGCCTGTACAGGGGAGAAACTGCATACTGGAGAAAAGTGACTGTGGACAATTGCACACCCACTTTTTCAACTGTGCAGCACTATCTTTTTCAGTTGCCGCATGATACTGCTTTTCAAAGGAAAACAGGGCTTCCTGCTTCAAGGGACAAACCAAAATGTGACAAAAGTGTTGGTTTATTATTTGCAGTACAGGCTTTATTTTACAGATGCAGAGAAAAATCTGTGGAATCTGTAAATCAGCAGGGTGATCTGAATACACAGCAATTTGACGGTAACCTGACAAAATCCATTAACGCTGCCTCCTAAGAGTTTTATCTGCATTTTAATAATATTTATTTGTTGTACAGGTAAAGGTTTATCCATTTTAAAGGTATTTAACATGCATGCATACTTAATATGTATTCATTTTATTGTATTAATTTTAGCTGTTGTAGCTTCATTTTTATGCTAGTTTGATTGACTTTAATTATCTTATTTTGGTATCATATATCGCAAGTGCAATAAACATCAAACCACACATGTCCACTTTTCCTCCCACCACCATGAATTAGCACTAATCCACGGACTGTAAGGGGGCATGGCTCAACCAGCCTCACAATCCAAGGTGTCCCGGTATCTCAGAGTCATCCCCCCCCCAGACTTTCTGATCTATCTTTGATCTTCCTTCAGAACACAGACAGAAAACAGACACCAGGTCTGAGAAGAGATGGGGGGGGAGGGAAGAGAGGGGGGGAGAAGAGAGCAGGGTGGGCAGGTGGGGCTAAAGATGCAGCAAACCTCAAAAGGGGAAAGAAAGAATGAAAGAAGGGAGCAGAGGAAACACATGTGTTCATGTAGGGGATAAACTACAACCACTTAAGAGAACTGGTTATTCCTGAATGTTCAGCACCGCAGCTTTTTTATTTTTTAAAGATGTACCACTGAAAAGCAAAGGCTTCCTTTCAATCGTGAAAAATCAGCAGATTTAGAAGATTTATGCTTTATTGGCAGAAACAAAGGCAGGTACTAAGCCTTATTTGCAGTAGGTTAGCTGTTTACTTAAGGGGTGTGCTTTGGCATTCTGCTGTTTGCTTTGATTAAACCCGCAGAATCTCAGGTCACCTGCAGAAACTGCCTCTGGCTCATTCATACTTTCCTCTGAAGGCTGCAACAGCATTGCATGGAAAGAAAGGGTTATTTACTGACGGGTGTAAAAACATGGCTGCATTTTCAATTTATGACCCAGCAGGCACTATGAATAATTGAAGTACACAGCTATTGCGCTGGAGGCTTGGAAGAACGCTGCCTTCTTACCTTGAAGTACTTCCATGGGCAAAACGGTCCAAGCATTTTCCAGATAGGAGATGTAAATATAACGAGCTGTGTTGCAGGCAAGGCCAATATACAGGACTCTACACAGATAGAAAAGAAGAAATACCTTATTAGGACTACTTTAACATTGGATATGCTTTGCACATAGCAATGACAAACTTGACTTAGGACTCTACACAGATAGAAAAGAAGAAATATATTGGATATGCTTTGCACATAGCAGTGACAAACTTGACTTCACCCATCTACAAGAAAAAGACAAAAGCCTATCTCACAGTCATAAATACTGCACTCCCAAGCCAACTACACCAGAGCACAGGTTGCTGTCCTCTGAAGATGCTGGCCACAGAGACTGGCGAAACGTTAGGAAGAAGAACCTTCAGAACACAGCCAAAGAGCCCGAAAAACCCACAACAACCATTATATCCCAGCCGTGAAAGCCTTCGTGAATATATTTTACTATACTGGCTTAGAACTATACTATCACAATTTTATTTAACACAGACTATTAAATACTGTACTAGTGAATGAACTTCAGTTTTAATTTCCTGCTTTTGTACCAAAAGAATCAGCACCTCTCATGCAATGTTATCTTTGCCAGATACAGTAATGGAAGATGGTGTATTTCAATGGTTAGTATATATGCAACCTTCTTTGTCCTGGGTGCATTTTAGTTTCTGATGGTTTTTCAAAGGATGGAAAAACCATGTAGTTTCCTGACAAATCCAGCTTTCATCACACAGTAAACAGACCCAGACATTTCCTGGAGCACTTTACTTACTCATACTTTCCTTCTTTTACATACCCATAGGTTTAACATGGTTTTGAAGCCCAGACATCACCCTAAAATTTGTTTTGTTAAGATTTTAATAAGATGCCCCAGGACTTTCTAATAAGCAAAATGGCTTTTCCTATGGAATCTGCAAGTTGTGATGCTGAGCCTGGTATGTTATTTTTCTAAGACCTCACATATATCTAGGTTACATCAAGGTTTTCACAATACTGTAGTTCAAACCTTCACAAGGGCAAGTTATTAGGTCACTTTCAATCCAAAGCCAGTGTTACAATATCTGAACTTATTTCAACTGCAACTCTAGTTCATGGGTAAGATTGTCTGGTTAGAACCTAGAGTGATTCTGCAAGAGAACCAGGAATGGCAACCAAGGGATCTATGGATAAGCTTAGCACAACAGCTGTGTGATCATCTAAAGCAGGAATAGGAAGCTTGTGTCCCTCCAGATGTTGGCAGACTGTGGGTCTCATCAGCCCACCACCTTCAGCCACAGATACTTTACCCTTGGCCTATGGTATACATGCAAAGAACTGCAGAGTGAGCAAGCAAGCAAGCAGGGAACCAGTATAATCCAGGCTTTGTTCAAGCAAACAGACCCCCTCAACAAAAACAAAAATAAACAACAATTTTTTTAAAAAAATAGCTAGGACGTTGGAAACCCTGTTTTCAGATGAACAATTCAACAAAACAATCTACTTATACAAGGCAGCCTTCTGACTTAGTGCTGTTTGCCTAAAGCAGTGATTCCCAGCCTTAGCTCCCCAGATGTTCTTGTGCTGGCCAGGAGAACATCCTGTTTCTTGGACTAAAACGCCCAGAAGCCTTCGACCACCAGCTGTGCTGGCCAGGAGAACATCCTGCGACCCAAGGTTGGGAACCACTGCCCTAAAGCATGCTGTCCTCTAAGCTAACTGATCTCTTCTTGTTCCAAAGTTTAATAAACAGCTAAAGCAAAACAAACACCTACCACCTAACATAAGCCAAACTTGGTCAATATCAGGGTCAAACTCAAGGATACATTTAACACAGGATTAGATTTATCGTAGCACATGCTTTCATTCATCCCAGCCTCTTGCAGTCCAGCTTCGTTTTGTGATTGGTCACTGGGAAGTAATCAGGGGCTTAACTGTATTACAGGCACTTTGGATGGATTTTATGTTGGGATGAGAGTAATGTATTTTGCATAAACAGAGATTTAATGGTATATCAAACTTCCTGTGCAATTTGAAAGCAATTTTTTCCCTTAAAAAAAAACCAATCAGGTGGAGAAGCATTGAAGGACACAGCACATACATTTTAATTAGAAACTACAGAGGTGAGACGCAGACCTCCTAGCACACCATGCTAAAGAGAACCCAAGCATCTCAGGCCTTTGTTTGTTATCTGCAGATTATTACAATCTGCGGAAAGATAAAAGCATTCTCTGCCGATTTCTAGCTGCCAAATTCGCAGCCGGTGTTCTGTGGAAAAGGTCCTGTTTTTTCCCCTTTCAGGTCACTAGCTGGACTTGTTCTGCATGGCAGTGACTAAACATTTAAAATGTGACCTGAAGCGAGGGAAGACATCTGAAAAATGAAGTCGTAAATATGACATTCTGAAAATCACTTTGTGAGGCCTGTTGTTGGAGAGAACTTTTAAGTGGGGGGCGGGGTTGGGAGACACAGGACTTTAAGAAAGGGTACAGATGTTTGTATGTTTGCATCAAGGCAGTATTAGCTACTGAACAAGGGCAAATATGCCAGCAAAGTAACTGGCCTGAAGCTGCTTTGCACTGGCCCTGCAAACTGAAATATGCTCAGAGAAAGAGCAATGATACTTCATAGCAAGCACGCGTCCATCTGAGAGGAAACGTTCTCCGAAGGGGCAAAAACAAACCCAGAAATGTATTCATAACACTGTGTGCCCTACCAGAAAATTTTATTTATGCAAGTACCAGCCGGATGCATTTAAAGGGTTGTCCTACTTCCAGCCACAGCTCCAAGTGCGCACTTACCACACCAGAAGCAGCACTCGCAAGCGCATGGTCCACTCAACACAATCATGCTAAGACTTTTCAATGCAACCCACAGAGCACCATAAACACCTCTACGCCAACGTCTCATGTGAGGAGGTATATAACTGAAGGTAACCTCCCTCTCACAAATCATGCGTGACAGGGAGGGCTGGTTTAGTCCAACATACCAGGAACCAAAGGCTTTCAGCTAGACACTCACTCATCAGCCCTCTTAGTTCTCCATTTTAAAGGAGCGACCACATGAAAGAAGTAAAAAAGCCTGCTTTTATCTGCTAAAAGTGACACTGAAGTGTTCAGTAATAATCCTCTCTGTGAATGGAAATCAAATGTGAAAAGATAAGGCCTGCCCTTAGTCGGGATTATTGAACAAATTTTCCTTCTCCCCCCTTTTTTCTTTCTTTTTTTAAAAAGAAAATGGTACTCAGGGATTGATGAGTGCTATTCAGAATGCTTTCTTGGTCTCTTGATGCTAGGCAACACTACAGCTTACCATTGTAAGTCATTATAATAATGACTTTCAAATATTTACATTACTGTGTATGGCAACTTTTCCCCACAGAGAAGAAACCCACCAACCACCACCTTTCAACATTAGCTAAACTTTCTGCTCCCATGCCCCTCCCGCAGAAACAGCCCCGTGAGAAACGACTGAAAACCCCTTGAAAAGTATGAAATAAGAGGGAATGGAAGGGAGCAGTTGAAAAATCAAGACAAAGAGGAAGGAATGCATAGATAGAAAAAAAAAGTAGAAAGAATGATCTTATTTACTGGATAGCTTATTTCCTTGATGAACTATTTCTTGGCTCACACTGGAGAATATATATTTTTAATGTTTTCAGAGATAGACACGACAGCTGCCCAGAGAGCTCAACAGAAATCCAAATGTTAAAGTAGCTAGGTGTTGATCTAGAGTAAATGAACGTATGGGACTGCTTGTACATGACACACACATGCTCAGATGTGTTTAAGGCAAGAATTGGTGGTCTTGTTAAGGGCACTGGTGTCAAAATTTTGTACTTAAATACATGAAAAATAGCCTCCTGCCTCTTGGGATAAGCTCTAAATATGGAAAAATAATGATGATTCACTGTTACAAAATGGGCACACATTAGCTGAGATTCTGTAGCACATTTACGCAAATGATGTAACTTTTTGACACAAGTTGCTATAGGTTGGGGAATCTCCTCAGCTGTTATGTTTGCACAGTGAGTAACTTGAATCAGGTAATGTCTGTGGAGATTTCTTAACTTATGGCAATTCACTTTCAAAGGTTACCCCATTTGCGTGGCTGTGAAACAGGATTTCAGCCGTTGACTGATTAACCTGATTAAAACTGACATTAAAAATATAACGTCACTTAATAAAAATGCAACTATGAGTACTTCAGTGGTCAAAAAACAAATCTAAAAACATTTCAAATTAAGAACCACTACCATTCCCATATCAAAAGAAAGATGTTTGCTTACTGCTACTTTTAATTGTTTTTATGTTATTTCTATTGTAAGACACCCTGACTAATTGGGCGGGGTAGAGACGCTGACTAATTGGGCGGGGTAGAGACGCTGACTAATTGGGCGGGGTATAAATTTAATAAATAAATAAATACACATCCTTAAAAACAAATTGGAAGGAAAATGCAAAACCAGATCTCAGGAAGGACTCAAAATGTCTCCACGGGTGCAAATGCTAGGATTTTGGGTAAATGGAAAACCAAGGGAATGTGGGGGAAAGTGTGTAAGACATAAATATATTGTTGTACAGCCTGCATACTCAACCTACTTAGTTTTTGAAGACACTGTTTACAGGATTTATGTACTGTTTACTTTTCTCTTGCAGTATTTGATCTAACTGATAAGTTAAGTTTATGGCATCACAGTTGAATAGTATGAACATACAATAAAATATATTCAATCAGTTATCAAAATACTAACTAGTCCAACTCAATGGAAAATTATCTGAAGAGAATAAAATATACTTCCAACATTTCTGGTTGAGCAAAGTGTTACGTACGAGCCCCCAGTTAGATGGCATGGGGTGTTTTGTTTCATTTTGTTTTGGTATGGTGGTAGCAGCGCACAAATGAACTGGATTGACTAGGACAAGTACTACATCAATGGCAAAGAGCAATACAGTGGTGCCTCGCAGAATGGTCGCTCCAAAGAGCGACGAATCCGCGCAACGGTGCCGTTGCGATTGCAAAACGGCACCTAGACAGGGCACAACTCACAGAGCGAAGGTCAGTAAGCGGTTCGTATACCGACCTTCACTTTGCGACCCGCCGATCAGCTGGTCAGCGGGTCCAAAATGGCTGCTGCGCGACACCAAAATGGCCACGCGCAGCGTTTTTGCACCCTTGGTAAGCGAGGAGGGGGCGCGAAAACGCTGCTGGAACAGCCGAAATGGCTGCACGCAGCATTTTCGCGCCCTCCCCTCACTTACCAAGGGTGCAAAAACGCTGCGGCTGGCCATTTCGGCTGTTCCGGCGGCCATTTTGGACCCGCCGGACAGCTGATCGCAGCCAATTTTGCGCCCTCGTTCAGCGAGGGGAGGGCGCAAAAATGGCTGCCAGGCACCCGGAAGCATCATTGAACGGTGAGTAGTCAGCCCAATTGGAATGCATTAAACACTATTTAATGCGTTCCAATTGGTTTTCTTGCCCCGTTCAATGATGCTTTCACACCGCGAGGGTTAATCCGGAATGGATTAACCTTGCTGTGCGAGGCACCACTGTAGATTGAGACTTCTTTTGTCCTGGTTCTTCTTCATTTTTAACTGCCTCTGACTCTAGGAGTTATATACCGTATTTTTCGCTCCATAAGACGCACCTTTCCATAAGACGCACCAATTTTTTAGGGGAAGAAAACAGGAAAATATAATCTGTTTTCTTCGCTCCATAAGATGCACAGACTTTCCACCCCCCGTTTTGTGGGGGGAAAGTGCGTCTTATGGTGCGAAAAATACGGTATTAGCAAGTAAGCACCTCATTGGGTCCAGCCCTAAATATAGAAGTACAAAAAAAAAAAACTGAAACACAAGAAAGCAAAACAAAGGTATGACCCTACCACGCCGAAGACACCCAACCTCGTCTGATTTTGGAAGTTGAGTAGAATCAGGACTGGTTACTACTTGGAAGGGAGATCATCTTCTACCATCAAGGATTGCTAGATGGGGCTAGGAAAGAACACTGCCTAAAACTCCAAAGGGCGACAAACAGTTGAAATCTGGGCTAGATCCTATTTTTCTTTGGACCAGCGTTCTTGAAGAAGCAAGTGAGTATTTAATTTCAAGCGCTTTGTCTCTTCAGAAATCTGAACTGCTGTGGAGGAGAGAGAACTGTATCTGAAGGAACAGTTCGTTCCTGCCAATTAATGCATTTGCCCTCTACTACAGTATGTGGTTCACTCTACATCATTACACTAACCATAAAGGATAGGCAGATGGTGTGTTTCTATATCTCACACCGACACGATCTATCCCATATCCATCATCAAGTCTTCCATGTGTGTAAATGATTTCTTCATATTGCAACGAAAAGGTATTTAGAAATCTTTTGGTAAAATGCATTATATACAACAGCTATTTCTCGTTTTCTTTACCTTTTGTCCAGGCTTCCTACATTCCTTCTCTGTTGTAGTAGTAGAACTGCACACAGAAATGCAGTGTGACACACCACTAATTTTTTTTAGATTTGTAGTGTAAACAATTACTGTGATTAGATCGGGGGGGAAGGACCCCCACTCCCATTTCTACCACCCAAAGACTGGTAACATTGTACTGGGTAAACTAGGCACTCCAGTAGCTTTCCACCCAGTCTGACAAGGTGGATTTAAATCACAATTTAAATTTTAAAAACTAGATTTTAATAAAAACTGGATTTAAATCAAAATAAATTTTTGATTTAAATCATGATTTAAATCAATTTAATTTTTTTTTTTTTAATTTTTTATCCAACCTGCAGTCTGAGCTTTTTTTCTGGAGTTACTCAAGAAAAACGCCTACGGGAACGTTCTTGAAATTTTTGAATAATCTTTATTATTTTAAACATCTGGCTACTACTCCATTAACTTTTTTTAAAGCAACAGCAAAAGCAAAACAATTGCATTTAGAAGGAACACATTCATTTCAATGTGAGCTTTTGTAGATCACAAACCATTTCTCCAAATGGCAGGTAGACTGTAATTCATGAAAGTTCACACTAAAAACATAGGTGTTAGTCTTGAAGATGCTGTAGTACTTCTGCTTGCTTTTGCTTTTCTGGAGACAGACTGGCTGGCCTTCCTTAACCCCAGAGGAAGCTATCTTGCAAGAACCTTGGTCCACCTACCTCTATTTTGCATCCTCACAGAAAGGCACCTATATTATATCTAAGCTGTGAAAAGTGTTTTTATTTATTTATTTTATTATTAGTCTGTAATTTTTGTAGTGGTTCTTCAAATCTGCCATCTCAGAGGAAACATGCCTAACCATTATGCTTCTCCTAACTAGATGATCAATAAAAAGAACTGGTTTGGTTTACACTATCTGCAAGTATTATGAAAAATTTAGGCCAGCTGATGAGCTTCTGTTCAGAAATGGTTTGGGGAGCAGAGGAAGGAAGAATTCCATTCTAACCAAACTCTGAATTATACTGCCCAATCTTGGGTCCTGGATGAGCAGGCCACCATCCATCTACCCATCCACTGGTAGGTTATCTGGAATGTCTAGTTTGGTCCTTTGCCACACTTCAAGAGAAAGCGAGGATGGTGTTTTCATACAATATTTAAAAGCCAGAACTATATACTTCATAGGACTTAGAATGTGTTCACCCAGTACAATCGTAAATGCAGAATTATCGTGCAATCCCACCTGAGGGCCATGCTGGGAGGGGCAATGTATGTATATTTAAAAAAAACCTGTACCATCCACATGTGGCAAATCCACACAGCTATATTTTGTCATTCCTACAAATGTTGAGAAGCTGTGATCACCTGTCACTCTACAAGTATCCAAATGAAATGATTGGGTAGCCTGGGTAGTAGATCTTAGGAAGTGATACTCAGACAAGTAGCGATGTAATTATGGGCGTTTTCAAAAGCCACTTGAAAACTTGGCTATTCAAGCAGGCCTTCCCTTCAGTCAATTGAGTGACTCTTAGTTCTTATTTCTTTTCTTTGGATTCATGCTATCTTGGGACTGTTTGCTTTAAATTAATTGTTAAAATTGTACATCTATGATTTATATTTTATATCTCTTTGTTTTTATCTATGTAAAACTGTGTATATTTTAAATTGTTTTTATCTTGTGTGTTGTGAGCCGCCCAGAGTAGACTATGTCTAGATGGGCAGCATATAAATGCAATAAATAAATAAATAAATGAATGAATGAAATGAATGAATAAATAAATAAATAAATAAATAAATAAATAAATAAATAAATAGATTATATGCAAAGCACATTCATGGGGATCACTGTTCGTAATAATCTACATGGAGATTGGAATCTAATTTCTACAGGGAAATCTGTCCTGAGCAGGAAAGGTGTTACAGCACCCCACCAGGAAAAATCACAGCTGCCAAATATTGCCCCCCCCACCCTGCCCCACAGGAGTTATTAAAAGATCCTCTTTCAAAGTTAGAGATTGGCAAAGGATGGTTATTATCCGAGCACTGAAGTATTTAAAAAAACCCTGTTACCAGCTATTTCCCAAAGATGCCTACACAGAATTAAGTCCCACTGAATTCAATGGCTAAAATCCTGTTATACGTTGCAATTTGGGTAGGTCCATTAAATCAATGGGACTTATAGAGGATTTTACACCACCTAACAACTGATTGTGTGCCATGGAACAATGGCATTCGAAGAAGAACTGTCCTGGTCTGTTTTCTTGAGAAGACAACATCAAAAAGACATTTTTGTGGACAGTTATTGCAAAGAGCTGTGGCACCTGTCAGAACAGTGACTGGTACAAATTTGATGGGGATGAAGAAAGAAAGAAAAGTATCACAATTATATTTCTTTGTTCGTTAAAGGAAGACATGGAAACAACAACGCATGCTCCTCTAATATATTTTTAAAACATGTAATTATGTTTAGTATTTATATGGCACTTTCAATTTATATGGCCTCCTCCCACCTGGATCTACCCGAACCACCCGTTCCAGCCAGGAAGGGCGGCTGAGGGGCCTAACGCCAAGGGAGGCCCGGAGAGAAAGAACAAGAAACCGGGCCTTCTCAACAGTGGCTCCTCGGCTATGGAACAGTCTGGCCCCAGAGATCTGTCTGGGTGTTTTTAACAGCAAACTTAAGATCTGGCTCTTCAGTCAGGCTTTCCCTCCTGTCATTACTTGCATTTTTTTTCTTTTCTCCATTTTCTGCCACATTGCTATTGTTGTTGTTTTTTTTACTTTATTACATTGTTTTCATTCCTTTTTTTATTATTCTTAGCTGCCCAGAGTAGATTCAGTCTAGATGGGTGGGGTATAAATTTAACAAATAAAATAATAATAATAAATTTCAAGTGTCTAAAGGATTCAATATGCATTATCTATTCGCAAACCTTTGTACCTCATATTGCTGCTGTATTATCCTGCATACTGCAAAACAAAAAAAACCAAAGCATGCTGCTTATATACCACCCCACAGCACTTAAAGCATTCTCTGGGCAGTTTCCAATTTAATTATGCAGGTTACTCGTTGAGTCTCTTCCTGCCTCTCCCCCCTCTCCCCCCCCCCGCAGCAAGCTGGGTACTCGATCTACAAACCTCAGAAGGAGGGAAGGCTGTGTGAACATTGAGCCAGCTACCTGGGATTGAACTCGGGTTTTAAGCAGAGTTGTGGCTGTGGCTGCAGTACTGCAGTTTCACCACTGGGCCACAAGGCTCCCTCTCCCTACTGCAAATGGGGAAACTGACACTGAGGGACAGTGACCTGCCTGAGGCCACCTAGTGATTTCACAGTGGAGCTGAGAATCAAACAAGTGACTTCCTGATCTATATACAGTTCAGTCCCTCAGTCGTGACAATTTACTTTTACACCTCAAACATCCATAAGAACATATAATTTTCTTTATTCTCTTTTTCCAGCTTACTGTTCTATTCGGACTCCTGTGTCATTCTTCACATTTTGTATTTTCTATTCTTGATGCAGTTTTAATTATGGATATTCAAACATTATTATATGATTTGCTTACCTGATGTGACCTATCAGTTCAATCAACTTGTGGCTGAAGAAATAGGCTGTCAATTCGGATACATGACTTAGGACAGAACAGACGCCGAAAAGGGTAGTGGTGCCATTCAGGTCCTCCAGGTGCCAGTAGAGAAAGGTGAACACAAAGCCATACCCAAAGCCCATAAACCAAGCTACAAACAGTACAGAACCATACTGGATACTGCAGAGCAGCTTTATCAAATCCCAAAAATTAAAGGATTGCAACTGGCTGGTGTCACTGCTACGGCTCTCATTGGAAGAGTCTGTAGAAGAATTTCTATCCACCGGCGAGACTTCAGCTTCTTTGCTTTCGTTTTCCTCTTGCTTGTAGTGGTTATAATGGAACCGGAACTGGGTTGCCACAATCAAAGAAACAGTCATCAACACCCCAAAGACAATGAAAACAATCCTGTAGTTCTTATACTCCGGAGGTTTACAGCCTTGACCTTCAAAAGGCACATCTATGTGGGTAGAATCAATGCCAATTCCCACTGACAGCATGGCGATACCCCAACCCAGAGAGCCCCACATCCGTTGTAGCCCATAACGATCCCTGTGCTTGCCAAGATACTGGAGAGTCACAGTGTCCACAATAGTGACTGATGATGCACTGAAGAACTCTCCTATAATAACCACCAGAAGGATGAGCAGGAAGATGGCTCCCACCTCCTGGGGGTCATAAACCAGAGTGACCTGATCAGAAAACGCGGCCTTGGTGGTAACTGCAGGCAAGATGGTGGCCTGGCTTGTATGCTCCGGTGATCTCATGGTCAGAGTGACTTTTGGGGTGCTCTCGCTGATTATACCTTCTTCCTTCTTTGAAGAATACATCCCATCTCCATTTGTGGTAGTCAGAGGGAGGACGGTTGCAAGGTTCAGAGGCAACGCTGAGCTCAGAACTGGCAAGCTGGAAGCCGGCAGGTCCCTTTTGCCTCGGCTGTTTGGTGGCGATGTAGCTCCAACAGCAGGCAGTGCCGAAGAGACCGAGACGTTTTGTGGGGTGGTCGTTAAGAGGTGGCTGGCATTGGTAGGATATACTGGCACTGGGAACTTGGGTACACACCTTAAGGTAGCTGGTTTCACAAAGCCGATTCCCAAATTAAACAACACCCAACAGAGAAGTGAAAACAGGAGGACAACTTTCCCTTTTTTAAAGCGATCTGCCACCACTCCCCAGAAAGGAGCACTGCAGAATTCAATGAAGTACCTAATGCCCACCAGGAGTCCGCTCTGGCTTGGCGTCATGCCCAGCTGTTTGTAATACACAGGCAGCAACGGATAAAGGGAACCGTAGGCAGCATAGAAGAAGAAATAAAAGACCTTAGAGACCAGGAGATCATTGTTCACTTTGACACAGTGCCTTTCGAGCCAGTCTAGTTCCTCGTCTGGAATGGTAGTTGTAGTCTCTGTTGAAGGTGTATCACTTCGGGCTTGGAGGTCTTGCTCTTTGGAAATACCATTGAAAGGATCTGCAAGCACATATTTCCTCTTTTGCTCCTCTTCGTCATCAGTTAAAATGGCTACTTTATCATCTGTGGCCATGGTTTACAGCACATAGGAGACACGGACGTGGCCCTCCAGAGTAGAATTTAAGAAGCCTGTAGAAACATACAAAAACCACCATAGTTTCAAAAAAAACCTTACTCAATGATACAAGGGGGAAATGCAGATATTTTTAACACCTTGAAGGGGTAATATTTATCACTTGCAAGTGCCATTCAAGGTCTTAAGTAGAACCTCAGGATGGACCCATATTTACGAATCCACACTACAAGTGACAAAAACTAGTGACTAAAATAGGATGAAAGTTTTTAAAATTTGTGATTAACGATAACACATGGATTACAAACAGATTTGTTAATTCCCATGAGAAATGCTAGTCTTCTTAGCAATTTGTCAAATATTCAAAAGCATTCACTTATATAAGATGCATCACCCACACTCTGAACTGGCTATAGATTCCATCAAGCCCAGTATTATCTTTTCTGAATAGCATCAGATGCTACCTGAGGGGCCAAACCTGGGATTTTATGCATGCAATGTGTGTACTCTCCTTCATCAGTACACAGTCAAATCTGATTTGCTTTGGTAGCATTATGAAAATATGACCTTCCTTTTGCTAGGTTTGCCCAAGAGATTTAGGAAGGAGAGGATAACACGCAATAAGGACAAGAAGGTGCCAAAGCAGAAGCAGATGGGGAAACCAAGCGAGAAAATAGGATCATTGTTCAAGATGGGTGGAAATTATCTCTTAAAAAAACAAAGTAAAGGGTGCTGCTTATATACTGCCCATAGAGCTTAAAGCACTCTCTGGGCCGTTTACAATTTACAGTAATTATGCAGGCTACACATTGCCCAACCCCCACAATCTGGGTACTCATTTTACCTACCCTATTTTCCCTAAAATAAGACCTAACCTGAAAATAAGCCCTAGTATGATTTTTCAGGATGCTCTTAATATAAGCCCTACCCCAAAAATACCCCAGTTAAGTGAAACCTACCATTCTGCAGCAACTAGATGACATGACTATATTTGAATAAATGTAGATTGTTGTACATGAAAAAAATAAAACAGCCCCTGAAAATAAACCCTAATACATTTTTGGAGCAAAAATTAATATAAGACCCTGTTTTATTTTTGGGGAAACACAGTACCTTGGAAGGATGGAAGGCTGAGTGAACCTTGAGCCCGCTACCTGGGACTGAACAGAGTGTCATGAGCAGAGTACAGCAGTTTAACCACTGTGCCACGAAGCTCTCTACTCTTCATTTACTCCCTTTCCACAAAAGCACTGTTTTCTACCAGAAAATCGTAAGGAAAGATTCAACACAAGGTTCAAAATGCCACCACGTTAAATGCTTCAGGTGGATAAAGTTTGGATTTATAGCCCACTAGGAGCCCTTTGAGAGCTGACAAGTAATCTAAAAGAGTTGCCATAACAGCATTAACATGTACACTCTATACTTTCTCCCCTGTGTAAACAGAGGAGAAAGTAAACAGTGGAGAGAACCATGTTCAGCAGACTAACTACTGAAAAAAAGAGACCTGAATTCAAATTCACACTCAGTGTTGTGTTCTGAACAAGATAGTTGCTTTTGCCTCAGCTTCTGTTCCGCAAAATCTGGACAAGAACCTACTTTCCAGACCGGAATTTTAAAGCAATATGCAAATTTACAATGCTATCATCATCCCCATTACCATCATCCAAGTAATGTTATAATTTAGGATATGAAATCCAGAAGATGTATCAAACATCCTCGCAATAACTGATCATAAACTAGTTTTCAGCGTGCAGTAAAAGACAGGCAATATGGTTTGATAGAAATCCACAAGGTTAAGCGGAAGAAATTAGCCTTATCCCTCTAACAGAGAATGCTTCAGAGGCTATGTGTTGGAAGGGAAAGAAAGGCGAGGAGAGTTCAGAGGAACTTCAAGCTTCAAAACAGGAGCCTCATTTTAATAAGACACTACAGTAGAAATCCTCTCCTCAGAAAAGGCACTTTTCTTCTCTTGGCGCATAGTAAAGGAACAAAGAACGAAGCAGAGGTGGATTACCAACAGCCTAGAGGGCTACATGTGTCCCTTGGCTTAATTTCAAAAGCAAGCCACCCCTCAAGTAGTTTGTGCAACCCCCCCCCCCGCAAGAGTTATCTTTCCTTCTCTTGGCAGCCTGCAAGAGAGGGAGAGAAAAAACTAGGAGAAACCGAGAGGCAGAAAGGTAGCAAAATATAAGAGAGGATAAGAGAACAAGCAAATGAAAGCATGGATGAACGATCTGGCCGACCCCCATCCATCTTCAGCTCTGGCCTACTACAGCTACGGCCTGCAGCCTCCAACACTTTCTCACCAAACGAATACTGTATTGGCCTAGAGGTTGAGGAGAAGGTTCCCCATCCCTCATTGATCTGTGGCTCTGATTCTAGGTTGATCCTTGCCCCACTCTGAAGTCTTTCACCTCTGCCTTTGTTTTGGTCCTTTCTCTTTCTCTTGTTTTGTAAACAAGGTCGCTCCCAATACTCATCCTGACAATTCAGACCAGGCTGTAAAGTTTAACCAGCTTGGCTTGAAGGAAAGGAGGGAAGAGATATTACACACTAGGCGTAGCCCTGATCCAGCAAGCTATACACTTGTAATAAATTTTATAAACATTACAATAAACAGCTTTTATTGCTGCTAGGATGCTTTCTATAAATACAAACGAGAACAATAAAAACACTGAATATTTCTTCCTTTTGGTTTGTAGCCTGGAAAAAAAATAGGGCCCACCTAATGTTAAGAAAGATACTTTAAAATGAAATAAAATGAAAAAGAGCAAACAACTATTTGGGAAAAGTCAAGTCGTCAGTACTATTTTAAGGCAGATGAAAGTTGCTGCCTAAACAATAGCATTTCTGTCTCCATGCAATACAACACTGCAAACCGAGGAAGGAGACTCTGGGTTCTCAGAAGCTTTTCCAAAGGTACAAACTAGGTTATTTCGAGTCTAATAACAAATGCTGTTCATTAGGCAAAGAAAGAAAAAAAGACATGAAAAGGACCCTAGCTCTTTTGCTGGAGCCAGTACATCTCTCTGAAAGAGCCCTCGGTAGTTCAGCCACATCAACAGCTGCTGATTGAGCTAAGATCTTGTTTAGTAACCTGAGGTAAATAATAGGAAAAAGAAGCTTGCCCTGGAGTGTAAGAAATGCTGTAACCATGTGGTGGAGCAGGAGTGGGTCATGTTCTGTCTTCCAGAATCTAGACGCCAGGTGACTGCAGTTCCCATCCACTCCACTCAGCAGAGGTATCTCTCTGGGTCTATCTCAATCACCTTGGAAGTTAAGGCAGAGGGACGCCAGCACCCTCAGAATTATTACGGTAGATTCTTGATCTATCTATTGCAATCAAAACAAATATGTGCAGACATGTTCCAGCAAAGATCATTTTTGAAGGCAAGGATTTCTAACAGATAGAGATTTCTACTTTCCAATGTGCTGATCCACACAGCAAATTATCTGGGGGATCACAAGTGGGATGGTACATATTGAGGAATAAAGGGGGAACTGCTGTCCTTTGCAGATAAGGAGATTGGCTGTAAGTGAAGGCTTTAAAGGTTAATGCTACCCTCACAAAAAAAAAAAGATTAATGCTACATCCACCAGGATGCCTCACTGATTGTCCTGTGAGGAGTCTTGACAGAAGTAAAAGAGAACTAAGCAGCCAGATAATCTCCAAATGAAGGTTAAGCCCATTGAGTGCCAAAACATTGTCCCTTACTAACATAGTGTAAAACCTCTTGAGAAGGGCTTAAGAAACAGTCTGTCCAAAAAGCATGACAGCATATCACTTCATGTAATTAAACAGAAGGTAATTAAAGTCCTTTAGAAGAGGAATCAAGCAATCACTTCAGTTCTGCCAGAAAAGACATGCCAAATACCCATTTGCATTTCCCTTACAATCAAGAAGAGCTAGATTTGTGCTTTGTGTGTGCGTGTGTACACACGTGTACAGAAATCTAGTATTCAAGCAGCTATCAGTGGCACAGAACAGTGGTTCTTAACCTTGGCTTACTCAGGTGTTTTTGAATTGCAACTCCCAGAAACCCCAGCTAGCACAGCTGGTGATGAAGGCTTCTGGGAGTTGCAGTCCAAAAACACCCGAGTAACCCAAGGTTAAGAACCACTGGTATAGAACTTGCAAAGAAATCAGAATTCACATTCACTTGTAAAACTGCCATGCAACACAACAATGCAATGGAAAGACATTCCAACCTGTTTTCCAGTACTGTACTCCGGCTCATATACAGATACTTTGGTTTTGTGTTCAGCCCTCATGATCCTTCTTCACTACCCTTTCATGAGTGACTTCCTTTAATGAACCTTACAGCAAATCGACTTCCTGCAAGAAGGCCACTCACTGAATTGATATGCAGAATTACACAGCAGGCCCATGAGTTCATAGAGCAGGCAAAAGAAGGTGAGTTTACCATTTCATCTTCCATCTCACCCATCTTAAGAGCCCTATCTGCCACCATGTCCACAGAGCAATATATGAACACTTGCTGGGTCAGAAGCTCCCAGATGTATTGATAGGAAGCCTGCTTGCTACTCCTTTGAACTACACAGACTCAAGCCCCTTAACATGCAATTTTACCCCAAGAGCTATGGAAACTGAAAAAGCTACTATGCATGTAGAAGCCACACAAAGGCACCACATACAGAGTCAGGAAGGCATTATCTGACCATGCCTAGCTGCTAACTCACTGTTCATTTTGTTTTGCAGTTGTAAGCAAGAACTGCAATCAAATATAACTACATGAACTGAAATCAAAACAAGAATTCTGTGTTACCACTAAATACAGTTTGTCAGTGACCACTGATAAGGTAACAATCACAAGCTATATTTTTTTAAGCCACTGATTACAATCCCCAATCCACAAGCATTTATCAAAAGATTCAACTCTTACGTCTCATGAAGCTTTTCAATCATGCCACTATATGTTAATTAGTTAAACTACACAAGTATTTTTGTGTTAGCAGGCAACCATTGTTTCTTAATATCCACTGTTGAAGTAACTGTCACTGTATTGCAGTTTTTGCATTTTATGTTCCTCATTTTGTTAACTACATCCTCCCACTCAAGTATATACACAATAATACGCAAACTGAGACAACACTCATAAACTGTAGTCCATAAACACGTGTCAAATAAAATCTGTTAGACATTTAAATCGTCACAAGACTTTTTATTATATTATACAAACTAACACAGCTACTCTGGCAACTGAATTACTACTATCTTTAGTATGTACAGTATTACTACTACAGTACTACTCACCTAGCACTGCTACCTGCACAATGTGTGATTTTTTAAAAAATGTCACCAGACATTATTTGTAATAAATGTATTAGTAACAACATTCTAGAGAATAAACAGAAGCAGCTCTGCTGATACCTATAAAAAGCAGAATTGTGCCCTGTTAGTCATATGACCAGGCTTACTGATTTCAATGGATAAGGTACGTACATCAAGGGACTAGAAACATACAGTAACGCCAAACTTGTTTATCCAGATGAAAGTCCCTTTGAGTTTAGCAGGCCCTGCTTCCCAATTCATATTTTTCATATCAGTGGAAATAATTACACACAGGATGTTTAGCACAGCTTCACTGGTAGATTGTGGATTGTGCAAATGCAAATCATCACTTTTAAACAATTTCCCCCACACATTAAACTCAATAAAATCAGAGCTTAATGTGTTACAAATACAGAGTTTAACAGTGTAGTCTGACACATGTTTCTTCAAAGGTAGATTATAGAGAATTCAGTAGGGCCCATCTCCCAGTTAAGTGTATATGGTTTCACACCCCAAACAACTGTGCTTAAAGAACATTTCAACAAAATGAACTTTAAACTGCTATACAAAAGGTTTGAACAGTAAAAGCCCTGATATTAATTAGTATGCTAATGTAGGGCTCTCTACCGCAAACATACACTGTTCTGCATTTTAAGTAGTTTATAAAAGCCTACCTTAACTTCTGTCTTCTTCCAGGGACCACTGACTGAAATTAGTGATTTGCCAATCTACTACTGTGACATCTGTGTAGCCTTTTCTCTATTATTACCTCACCAAAGTGGCCATGTGTCCTCTTTTACAGAGGACAGTTGTGGGACTGGTCCTGCTCCTCCTCCTACTAGAGAGTGTGGGGTTTTTGCCTCCCCACAAGTAAGGGGGAGATTCCTGACCCTGCTCATCTGTCGACTGGGTGGTGACATGGACCACGCCTTACAGGCCACACGTGTGGACATGGAGGGCTGGGGGCTAAAGGAGGAGAGTTGGGGGAAGAGGAGGAGGCTGGGTGGACGGCCTCGACAAGGAAGCGTCTGAGGCCCAGAAAGTGCCAGCACAGCTGGAGCATGCTCTATGGCTGGTTGGGAGACAATTCCTTGCTGGGACCCGGAAAACAGGCGT